TATATATATATATATATATATGTAAAATCAACAATATAGTGTAGTGAACACACCCCAGAAGATGTGCACTAGGAAGTACGCATTCAATTTCCAAAGAGGACTACTTTTTGGAACTACTGAATGCATACACCTGGCTGTCTCATTAACAGATGCTGCCGAGCAGTGTCTGCTCAAGAGGTACCGAAGAGGAAGAGTCGCTCCTCGAACAAAACCAACCGGCCACGTATATAGTGCGTGCAACACAAACAGCAAGCCCCGAAAGATGTTTCGTTAAGGGTGAGCCATACTTTACTTTTTCTGGTCTCCCATTTTGCTAAACAGCTTGTCCGGCAACACAGACACCGTCAGACCTTCTTCTTGCAGTGCTGACATCAGAACAAAAGAAGACACGAGTGCGGCAAAAAATGAGACGGCAGAAATGCAAGCGCAGTATTAACAAAACAATGACACCTTCAATACTTCCGTTCAAGCCGAAAGAGTAGTCAACAACACATTGGCCCCGTAGCACAACTAAGTGAAAGCACAACTAAAGTAATATATGAACATAAAAGAGCACGCAAATATAAGAAGCCCCCTGCTCTGATTTAAACGCATAAGGCTCACTCTGGGGTCACGGACCCTCTTCAACCTACTACCGTCGATTAAACAGCAGCAGCTACACATGCATGCAGACGGAAGCAACAACAGTAGACATCAAGAGTGACTGGAAACTCCTGGCTTACCCCTGGCGATTTCTGTTGCTTTCTCTTCCCAAGTAAGCATAATTGTTGCCTTTAAATTAGTGTGTGCATGCAGCGCAATGTCGTAGGCCCTAGCTCGACTAATTTGGGGCAGTATTTTCGTGATAGCATTCTCAACGCATTCGAATCTGCAGACTCAAACAGACGAACCCACATAAGAGCTGCTGACGGTGGAGATTTGACATGTCCATAGTACACATCTATACTAGTAGCTGTATTATCAACGCCGGGTCTTATTGCTATCGTGTTAAGGTATAATAAAAGGCGTAATAATGCTTACTTTAAACACTACAACAGTCTAAACATGACATCAGCACAAACGTGGTGTATATGCGTTCACCCCAAGACACTCACGTGTGAATATCGTCGTTGTGCAGCACCACACGCCATTCTTTGACTCTCTGGCGCCGTTTTTCCGGTCCTTCCTTGTCTTTTACTGCCTCTGTCTCCTTTACTTTGTATACTTGTGCTTCCTGCTGTTCTGCTTGCTCTCTGAAAACCGCTCGCACCAGCAACTATATCGTCGTTGCACCACTGCGAAACCATTGCACCATCATTAAAAATGCGACACCCCAGAAGCAAGAGAAAAATAGCTGAGCGTAGTGTTATTTCGTTGCAAGCCAAAGGCTACGCAAAGGACACGAGGAAGCGAAAAAGACAGCAACTCATGATGCTGCCTGTACACTTATTCTCTCAACTATCCGAACCCCCAAGCCCTCAGCCATCAATACGAACCTCCTCTTGAGCTGTTTGGTAGACAGTGGAATTTTCGAAAGCCCTGTACCATTTGCTGCGAATAGCGCAGACCTTCTTCCGGTGTGCAGGCACCTGAGTGCCAACGAATTTCCTCTGTGCCCTTCCCTTAAATAGGACCCTCCTGAACCTGTCGCATTTGAATTTCTGCAGCCCCCCTGCTGTTTTCTTCCTTTGTACACGGGCGAGTTCGAGTGACCACACCCTGTTGTAGGTGCACAACCTCTACATGCAGGGCTGCCGATAGGAGCCACAAAGGCGGTGGGAAGCTGATGATTCCGCTGCCTGCTAAAGTAAACCCCTGTTGTCTTAAGATGCGCTCCAGCAGAAAGGGAGAAAGAGGACGAAGAACAAGAGGCGAGGGAGGGCTCGTAGATTGTAGCAGCACACAGAGAAGACCATTGCCTCTGCAGCAGCTGTTGTCTGCAGCAGTAGGACGCTGAATGCCCTCCTGGGAAGCTACGCGTAACTGCCCAGGGGCTGACTGTTGAGACACCCGAAACAAGGTGCGCATGAAGCAACAGGAGAAGCAGAAGAGAGACGCCCATGCAGAGTGCATGCAAAAGACCATGAACAACTGGGGAACGGTCCCGGGATCGTGCACAGGAAGGAGTCATTTCGTGTGTACCGCCAATCAGGGCATATCGTGTTGTGCTGTTTGCGGCGTCGCTCCACCCCACTTGACCCTCCCCTCCATCCTCTAAACGAAATTCACTTCATCAGTTATGTAGGAGAAGGACTTTTAGGGTTATGCAGGGAACCCTAGCAATCTAGAGTCAAAATCTCGCGGTTTGTTGCAAGACGAGTTTACCAGGTGCAACTCTCCATGGATGGACACAGGCAATGACCCCAGAAACCACCCACACACTCAAAAAAACTGCAATAATAATGCCAAAGTCAACCGAACTTTAAATGCTTGTGCTCATGTGTGCCGCCATCCAGCGGTGTCGTCTGTGGGGCTCGTACCACCCACCTACAACCAGGTGGTGGGCGTGAGCTGTAGAAGGGCTACTTGAACTTTTTTTTGTTTTGAAAATCTTAATAAAATTCGGGAAAAAGTCATTATTTAGTTCCACCGAATATTCAACGGTTGTATATGTTCACGAAATCTTGCAAAGTGTGGACGCTGGTGACACTTATTCGCGGTTTCAAGTGGCACAGGGTGGGGACTGTGTGTATGGTGTCTATTAAACTTACCTGGCAGGCGCTCGGGGTGGCTCGCCCATCACCCTGTCGTAGTCCGGAGCAGAGCACTGCACTCAGCTGTCTGTAATGGGCTATGGGCCTCCATACGGGGGTGCCAACTGCAGAATTTCTGATAGCGGCATGTTGCGTTCGCGCTCATGCCATCGAAAAAACCTGCTTCGAATTGTTTTATGTGTTTTCTTGGTATTGTTTTCTGTTTTATGTGACTCTTCTTTGTGCTGCATTTTTGTCGACCGTGTTGATCGTGCCAGTTTCTTATTTTGGTGGGATTGCCCTGTCGAGGATTTCGCATGAGAGCATCGTATTCGGATTCGTTTCAATTTGTACTGCGTAGTTTGGGAACAACGGGTTACTGTGTAACCGAGTTCTGGCGTTTTCTGCATTAGAGAACGACCAATTAGGTTAGTAGACGAGGCGTTCCGTTTGACGTGGTGGGGATAAGGGGACTAAAATAATACGAACACAGTCTTTTCAGTGGAGGCGATCGTGTGCTGCCTTTTGTCTTTACGTCGATGAAGGCTTTCTCTCGTTCCACCTAGATGGTCCGTTACGAACAACATTGCAATCTGAGGATGTATTGTTAACGTCCTAGCTCTTCCTTACGTGTCTAATTCAGCTCACCTGTACTGAGCAAGTTCGGTAGGCCGAAGTTGCAAACACATCTCCCACATTTTGCAACTGCCAGACGGGGGCGCACAAATATATCCCGTTTATTGGTACCACCAATGTTTCGGCTGAATCGAAAGATTCTAACAGCATGCATGCAGCGACATCACGCTAGCACGGTGGGTTGCTTTGTATGAACTATATGAACTGAGTAAATGAAATCGTGACTCTCGACACTCTTTCTGAGTACTTCGACTATGTTGTAGCGTACGCAGTGGATGACGACCAAAAGCTACAGCTAATCGATTACACTTGCTTAGGCGTGAAGCATGCTTGCCGCGTTGTTCAGCATTTTACTGCAAGCCAAAATAGCAACTGTTCTCGATTGATACAAATGCGAAAAAGAATTAAGACGTTCTTCGTCAGTTAAGGACGTCCCCTTTCTAGCGATGACAACGGGAAAAATGTGTTTAAATCGACAGTGAAGTTCCCCTTTTGTTGGTTTTGTCCGACGATGAATTGATCCATTACTGCCAAGGCCAGGCTGGTTTTCTGCAAAAGAGTGCAAACACTAACAACACAAGCAGATATACCGAGCAGCAAATCTTTCGGGGAAACTGCAGAGTACAAAATGAATTTAGTTCGGGTACAAATTTGCATGCATTTACAGCGCTGTCTAATGCTTCTATATAATTTACATTGCAGATACAATATATATGTATATATATGCTATATGGTACATATATACTTACCTTCACGTCATGTACTCTGAGTATATCTACACATCCATGTGTACCTGTGCACGCCCAGCACGCCACTGCAATCCCTGCGATATCTCTATTTGCCATTTCTTCTTCTTTTGCTTCATTTGTTTGAGCTGTCTTTCCTTCCTCCTCCTTTGTTTGCGTCCCCATTTGCCTTTTGGAGATAGCCCACCCAATAAATCTGCAAAAAGACAACAGCCAGCTACAGTACTATGTAAACAGGAAATTCGACAGACATTAGCTAGTGTTCCCACAAACAACAACATTTCACTTCATTCAAGTGCAACAAGAAAGTCTGAATCTGTTTTATTTCCTGTTTACACAATATTGCATATTCAAGGAGAAAAGACGAAAGAGGGAGAAAACCCTAATGTAATGGATTTAAAACTGCATGCACTGTACCGTTTTCTTGAGTAGCCAAGGAGCAGCGGCAGACCGCTCGGCAATTTCCTGCGAAGTTGTGGAATTTTCTTAAGTAACTCAAAAGAATGTTTGGGCGTTTTTGCAAAACCCAAACCAACATCAAGTATAATGCGCCACCTAGGAGGAGGAAGACAGAGAAAGAGAAGTATATATATATATATATATAA